GCTAACCCCACTCCACCACTGAAAGCACTTACAATATGCACGTGAGTGTTGGAGCTGGACCTTGGAGCAATGGAAGAAGATCATCTGGTCTAATGAGCCCCATTTTCCTTTACATCACATGGACAGCCAGGTCGTGTGTGGTGTTTACCTGGGGAAGTGATGGCACCAGGACACTGTGGGAAGAAGACAAGCTATTGGAGAGGGTGTGATGCTGTGGGCAATATTCTGCTGGGAAATCCTGGGTTCGGGCATTAATGTGGACATCAATTTGACACGTGCCACCTACCTAATCATCACTGCAGACCAGGTACACACCTACATGGCAATGATATACCCTGATCGCTGTGGTCTCTTTCAATAGGATAATGCATCCTGCCTAATGGCACACATTGTTCAGGAACGGTTTAAGGAACATAATGAAGAGTTCAAGGCCTCCAAGTTCCCCAGATCTCAGTCCGATCCAGTATCTGTGGGATGCATTGGAACAACAAGCACATTCCACAGCTGCTCCACCTCACAACTTACAAGACCTAAAGGTTCTGCTGTTAGCCTTGTTGCCAGATGTCACAGAGCACCTTCAGAGGTCTTGTAGAGTCCATGCCTCGTTGGGTCAGAGCTGAGGACCAACAGCATATTAAGCAGTAGGTTGTAATGTTTTGGCTTATCAGTGTTTACAGATAGAACTACAGAATAAGTGGTTATATAAATGAATTCAGGCAAAAATACTATATCTGGGAATTCCATCTCTGGTTCTGGAGGGACTGGAGTCCCTACTCTAACACATCTGATTCATCTGATCAGTTAATGACCAGCTGTAGTAGAGGTGTTGACCTCTTTATGTCCAGACCCTGTGATTTTTTTTTTTTTAATTCTTTTTTCTTTCATTTAACAGAGAAGTACATGCAGGGCTTTGTGAGGCAAAATATTCCCAGATAAAGCATATGTTTTGGAATTTTTACATTATATTACATTACATATAAAACTCAGAAGACACATGTAGGTTCACTGGTGGTGTTGGGTAGTAAATAAAGTGGCTACATTTGTGTTGTAGACATGGCAACTCCTGGTTCCCATCACCACCACTGTAAAGAAATTAGTAAGTCAGTAATTTTCTCTAATATGGCACATTTCACATAAAAAACTCTAAATGACTTGGTTTACACCTTAACAGTCGACTTATGCACAAATTTTGAAACATCAGTGGAATTCCCCTTTAAATAGGTTAAAGTGGGGAAGTTGTCCAAACACCAAACTGTGCTGGACTCTGGCTGTCCAGGAGAGGAAATGGGCTCCTGCATATTATATCATGACTATATTCTGAGATGTTTAATCAAGTGCTTGTATGTTTTTTAACAGGTTTTTTCCCAACACAGATTTCTTTCCCCCTATTGTACTATTATGGTCTTAGATCCATTCTTTCCATGTCCTGTTTGTTTGGTCCATTTACATTGTGTAGGTTTTAATAAATTAGGCTGAATATCTTATACAGCTGTGAGTGATAAATTGTATTAAGACTGGAAATGTACTTTCACCCTGTTCCTTAATGGTCAGGACCCCCACAGGACCACCACAAAGCAGGTATTATTTGGGTGGTGGATCATTCTCAGCACTGCAGTGACACTGACACGGTGGTGTGTTGTGCTGGTCTGAGTGGATCAGACACAGCAGTGCTGCTGGAGTTTTTAAACACCTCAGTGTCACAGCTGGACTGAGAATAGTCCACCAACCAAAAATATCCAGCTGTTTCGTCCTGTGGTCAGCGGCCTGTGACCACTGATGAAGGACTAGAGGATGACCAACACAAACTGTGCAGCAGCAGATGAGCTATCGTCTCTGACTTTACATCTACAAGGTGGACCAACAAGATAGGAATAGAGTGGACAGTGAGTGGACGCAATGTTTAAAAACAACAGCAGCACCACTTTGTCTGATCCACTCGCACCAGCGCAGCACACACTACCAACACATCACCACCACGTCAGTGTTACTGCAGTGCTGAGAATGACCCACCACCCAAATAGTACCTGCTCTGTGGTGGTCCTGACAATTGAAGAACATGGTGAAAGGGGGCTAACAAAGTAGACAGAGATACAGATGGACTACAGTCTGTAACTGTCGAACTACAAAGTGCTCCTATATGGTCAGTGGAGATGATAAAATGGACAATTAACGTAGAAACAAGAGGATGTACTTAATGAGTGGCTGGTCAGTGTATATGCACATATATAACTGAAATATAGAAATTTTCCACATATTTTGACAAATATATGGAAATATATTTCTTTGTACATGAGAATTAATGTCACAAAGTTTGACTGCCCTCGTTTTACCGGAGGCGCCTGGTCATTAAAATAGACAGCGCACCCCTCTTTTGCTGATGCTATCCATAGGTCATAAAACCATTTCAGTGTAGGCCTGGGCTATTTCAGTCCACCTAAATCACCACAACCTGTTAACACCTGCTTATTATGCTTTTATTTAAAGTGTCAGTCAACACTGACCTCCATGCCCTACACTGCCTGGGTGAAAAGTAGCCTCTGGCCAGCAAGAGTTAAACCTTTTTCCCCACCTGTACTTCTCCCATGTTGGCTGTGTTGGCTACTGATTGACCTATAAATTCACTGATACTCCCAGGCAGGACACAAATGTTGGATCATGTTTATATTACTAAAGAAGAACCATCATAAGTTTATTTGCTAACTATTGTGCATATTGTGCTTTTCTTAGTAGGGTTGACCAGCTATGAGAAAACATTATACAAGCTAACTAGGTTAACTAGATGAGCCTATCATAAAAATGAATGCTAATATTGTATATAGATCATTCTACTAAAATTGATTCAAAGTCAGAGTTCAAAAGCCATTCTGGACTTTTCACTGATTTGGACTTTACACTAAAATTCTTTTGCTTTGAGTGACCCAATACCTTAGGTATGTTTATTCCATTAAAATAAATAATTGAACATTCCATTTTGTCACTACCAAAGCAATCATAACAGTAACGTTTCAGCAGTGACTGCGTCAGTAGTGACACTTTTAGCTAATTTGAACTCAAAAATAACTCAAAAATGCTAGCCAGGACTAGCAAACACAGCTTTGAACAGTTGTACATTGTACACATAAGATCATAATAACGTTCATTTAAAACACAGAAACGTTTAATTAACTGCAGAAAATATGTGTTTCGGTAGTGACGATTTAATGACTTAATGATCCACACTGATGTTCAGGACACTTTTACTTCAAAACAATGGGATCTAACTGCTCACCATGTGGCCATGAGGGACAGGGATGTGGCCTCACTTCCTGCTCCAAAATGCAGGGGTGTGGCTAAAACAAGGCCCCGCCTACAGACTAAAACTCTTTGTGTTTCAGTTGTGACATGAAGACGTGGGACAGCATTTTTTGAATAGAGTTTTTTATGAGCTCATGATCATCATCTAAATCTTTTAAAAAGATCTTAAAAAGACATAAAAAATACAAAAAAACTTATTTTCACAAGTGTAAATTTAGGGGTTAGAGTTTGGGAACAGACAAGCAAGCAAAGTTTATTTATATAGTGCTTTTTACAACAGGTGTTGTCACAAAGCAGCTTTACAAGGAAATCAGCATTACAGAAAGAAATCCGGGTCCGAACCCCCATGAGCGTCGCCAGAGGCGACGGTGGCAAGGAAAAACTCCCTAAGAGAAACAGGAAGAAACCTTGAGAGGAACCAGGACTCAGAAGGGGAACCCATCCTCCTCTGGGCGACACCGGATAGTAAACATTGTTAGTATAAAGTATTATAGTACAAAAAAAAAAACAAAAAACAGGGAAAACAGGTGGAGCAATGATTAATTTGATTAGTTTAGTTCATACAGCAGCAGCAGCATCAGTGGGGTCAGGTTGTGGGGGTGAGGTTTGCACGGTGAGCAGTGGCACCCGATCAAGGCAGAACGCACAGGATGGGCAGCTGTTCAACTCGGCAAAGGAAAGAAAGAAAGGAAAAACACACAGAGTCAGTTCTGTAATGGGTGATTGATTCATTTGATTAGTTTAAATGATTGATTAGTTCAAATGATTAATTTTGATTAGACACCTCCCACTGAAGATGATCTAGAAGATATTTAGCTTATTACTATCTCAAGTAATGCCTTGAGTTGAAATTGATCGTAACATAACCCTTGTAAATATCTAAGGTCGAAATACTTCATTATTTTATTTTTATTTTTTTTCTGGGGACCTCAGTTTGAACTAATTCGGCAGGATGGTCCGTATACATGCTAATTTAGCATGTTAGCAATTTTATTTTAAGAAAATGCTTCCATTTTATCAGATCGTTTTAGCTCTGGATAGCTTTAGTACACATCACTGTTGGAAATTAACCATTAATAATTAATAAATCTTCTTAAACTGGAACTGTGAGCTGCTCAGAATATTGGAATATTTGATTTGATTGGATGATGTTTGTTAAAAATAGCACATATAGCAACAAAAAGAGTTCTTATATCTTAAAAATGTGGTTCTTCAAGGCTACTTTAGTGAAGGGAATGTTTCAATTTAGAACCAAAAAGGCTTCTGCTTTTGTTACGATGACAAGCTTGTAACCTTTTTGAGTGCTACACGGAACCTATTTCACAATGGTTCTCTATGGGAACCAAATAAAACACATTTTACATCAATCTGAAGAAGCGTTTCACCCTGTAAAGAACCTTAAATGGTTCTTTACAGGGTGAAATGGTTCTTCAGATTGATGTAGAATGTGTTTTATTTGGTTCCATAGAGAACCATTTTCAAAAAGGTTCTGTGTAGCACTCAAAAAAGGTTGTATATAGAAGTAGAATCATTCCCTTTACTAAAGAACCCTTGAAGAACCATCTTTTTAAAGAGAGTAGCGCAGCGGGGCGGGGCTTGCCGGAATACGGGTGGGGAAAGAAATCAGGCGGTCCAGCAGTGTCGCTCTCCAGCTGTTCACATTCCACAGCGCCGAGTCGCCTCTGGCGGGGAGAGGCAGAGAGAGAGAGAGAGAGAGAGAGATAGAGAGAGAGAGGGAAAGCGACACTTTCAGTCTCTGAAAAGCAACAAGAGCTGCTAAACTGACGCTCCCTCCGCCTGTCAGCAACAACGGGGTCTTTTTTAGCTGATTCAGCGAACACTGAGCTCCTGAAGTGCGTTAGCCTCTGCTGGACTTGTGCTTTGTGGACACGGGATCGTGGCGCACCTGAGGAGCTGCCAGTGGCATCCACGGCGACAGCTATGGTGAGACCTTTCTCCTGTTCTGTGTTAGGATGAGCTGAGAAAGTCTTTAAAGTTATGGCTCCTTAATGGTTTTTGGCTTAGACTTATGGTTCTAGAGTAAACCTTTAATTAGTATAGAACATTTACATTATATGGAAGCTCTTTAAACCTAAACATGGTTCATCACACCCACTCATCTCGTTTATAACAATGGTTCTTTAAAGAACCGTCCATGGAAAGGTTCTGTGGGGAACTTGTGGTTCTTCTATGGCATCGCTCCAAACCCTGTTTGGCACCTTTCTGTTTAAGAGTGCACAAAAGAACCGAAGGTGAGAACGCTTGTCGCTGTCAGATGCAGATGTTGGTTATTAATCGAGCACCAAATTAAGCACCGAATAGCAAATTTATAAGTCATATTTGGGAGGATGTTCCTTTTCATGTCTTTGTTTGTGTTTGTATCGCATTGCATACGCCCCCATGCAGTAGCCTAGAGCGCAGATAAGAGAGATAGCCGTCTTATGAGGACACCCATCATGTAGGAACCCCCGGGGAACTGAGTGCTGCACCTATTAAAGGGCCCATATCCGTCTTGCACATTGGTCTTGCTGTTTTTTGTTACCCTGAGGTCACTCCTGAGGCTACTGCGGTTTCATACAACAAAAACAGTCATGATTCATTTTTACATGACCGTTTTTCAACCTCTCATCCCTAAAAAACAAACAGACTGTTCATGGTACTGTATGCTCTTTATAAAGATGGTGCTTCAAAATGGTTCTATATATAGAACCATGAACACTCAAAGAACCCTTTACATGGTTAAAAGGTTCTTTGCAGCATGACAACGTTCTTCAGATTGATGGAAAATTTGCATGAACGTGCTGTATATAGTTCTATGTAGAAGCTTTTTGAAAAGGGTTCTATATAGAACCCAAAAAGGGTTCTTCTATTGCTACAAGCTTGACATCATAACAATACACACTTAAAAATGTTTCTCTGTATCATGAAGGAGTTCTTCAGATTGATGCAGAATGTGCTGTTGAAGGTTCTATCCTTTTTGGAAAGGCTTCTATATAGCACCAAAAAGGGTTCTTCTATTCTTACGATGTCACACTTTTTATAGTAGAAGAAGCCTATTTGGTGCTACATAGAATTATTTTCAAAAAGGTTCTACATAGAACCATGTACAGCACATTTTCCATCAGTCTGAAGAACACTTACATGATGCATAGGGTTCTTCGAATGGTTATGGTTCTATATAGAACCATTTTCTTTACTAATGAACCGTTGAATATCCATCATTTTTAAGTGTGGTTCTATACAGAACCATCTATAGCACATTCTCCATCAGTCTGAAGAACCCTTTCATGATGCAGAGAACCCTTTAATCATGCAGAGAATTCTTTGAGTGTTCTTGGTTCTGCATAGAGCCATTTTCTTTACTAATGAACCTTTCAATATCCATCATTTATAACTGTTTGGGTGCTATATAGAACTCTTTTCAAAAAGGTTCTATATAGAACCTTCTTCAGCACATTCTCCATTAAACTGAAGAACTCTTTCATGCCGCAAAGAACCCCTTAATCATGTAGAAGGTTCTGTGAATGTTCTTGGTTCTATATAGAACCATTTTCTTTACCAAAGGACCCTTGAAGAACCATAATTTTTAAACATGTAGAGGAACCTTTTTGGGTGCTATATAGAACCCTTTTTAAAAAGGTTCTATATAGAACCATCTACAGCACATTTTCTATCGATCTGAAGAACGCTTTCACGATGCAAAGAACTCTTTAGTCATGCAAAGACTTCTTTTCATGTTCATGGTTGTATATAGAACCATTTTCTTTACTAAAGAACCCTTGAAGAACCATTATTTTTAAGTGTGTAGAAGAAGCCCTTTGGGTGCTATATAGAACCATTTTTAAAAAGGTTCTATATAGAACCTTTTACAGCACACTCTCCATCATTCTGAAGAACTCCTTCATGAAGCAAAGAACCCTTTAATCATGTAGGGGGTTCTTTGAATGTTCATGGTTCTATATAGAACCATTTTCTTTACTAAAGAACCATTAAAGCACCATCTTTTTCAAGAGTGTACCTTTAAGACTGATAAATGTAAATGTGCTCCCGTCTGATTGGCTGCTCTGTGTGGGTGTCTTGTTCTTCGCTCTCTTTATAGCTTCAGTATGACTTGGCAAGACTAAACTGCACCGAGCTGAATGGGCGGATATGAAATGTGTTGGTTTTTGTGACATCACAAAAGTAATGGATTCCAAATGGGCTGGTTTTGCAGCTTAGTTTTCATGTTTGGAATATTAGGTTTTGAAACTTAAACAATGTTTTACATATTTCAAAGAAAGTGAAGAGAACTCAGTTTTGCGTGAGACGGGCCCTTTAAACAAGCTTTCTGAGGTTCTCTAGGTTCATGATGAGAATAACTCATTATAACAGTTTTGTGGTGTGACTGAAACTTCTTCTGCTTTTCTCAGCACTGCTAATCTTAATCCGGGACAGTTCAGAGGAAGAAAAGTATATGCAAGCATATTTTTTGTAAGGCCGACTTGACACCACTAAACTAAACACTATGGTAGCCAAGGCATTGGTCACCATCATGGCAGCGCCACAGGCCTCCAGCTAATTCCGCTGTTGGCACCACGCTGCTGCTGCAGTGTGCAAAGCACAAAGAGTACGAATACCGAAACTTAGTGCCTGATTTCCCCTAAGACAGGAAGTAGGTGTGCTGTGTGACCAAGCTATCGGTCACTCTACTTCCAGCACCAGGAAAGGAACTAATGCTTCCTTTCTGGAGCGTCTTTAAAGTTCTGCCACACTAAAATCAGGCACTGAAGAGAGAGAAGGGCTATTTAGTGCAGTCGGTCAGCTGAAAAGACAGTCAAAAGTGATTCTACATCTGATATGTTTCAAATATGACAGTAATGTGAAATGCATATGCAGGGAGAAGTCATAACAAAAGTATTACGTTAGCTTTCGAGGCCGTTTTTTGGATTTCCTAATGGTTCTTAAATCATTGGACCAGTATTACTTTAGCCACATGCAGCTGTAACAACATTCGCCTGTCTGTTTCATTTGTTTGCATTGGATTTAAAGGTTAGCAGTCTAAATCTGTGCGTCTCAAGGTGCAGGAGAACATGAAACTGTGCAGGTGGACTGTAGGACTGTAACTTGGAAACTTTTTTATGATTAAACAGCTTTGATATTTAGAGAATTTCATAAAGATGCTCAATATCAGTCACTGATTTCTTTATGTATTTGAATGGAGGACGTCCAATTAAAGTTAGCTACAGTTTAAGGCCTTGGTTTAACACTGGATGCTAATTTATCACTGGAGTTGCATATCAGTAGTGGGTCATTCTCCATTTGGAGTGGAAATCCAGGCGGATACATTTTTAAAAATTCAGTTTCTTTCATTGTAAAACTAAATAATCTTAACATGTCCATTAACATCTCCTGTTATCATAAATGCATAAAGGAGAGTTTAATTCCAAACATATGTTACAGTCACTGGTGTTATATGAATGTGGTTTAACACCAGTGACTGTGACTCCAGTGACATTCTGGTTAAAACTGAAGATTCTGTAAATTGGCTGACTCATTGGTGGTCAGGTGACCTTGTGCAACTATTTAAAATCAGTAATAAAAAATGATATACAGCATTATTTTGACTAAATTTAAATTACTCGGCCATTAAAACACTGGTGACACATAGAAGTTATGTGCTGCCTGATAAACAAAATTATTAATAAATAATGAAATACAGTGAGTGAGTGTGACTCGCCTTCTCAGGCCTTGAGATGCTTCCTCTCCGATGAGCCTCGACCCAAAGAAGCAGTTTAATAGAGCTGAAAATATTGTGTTAAAATGTAAAATAAGAGTCCTGATAACAGCAGTGACCACAATCTCTGACAAATGATTTTTTTGTTGTACAACATTAATGAAAAAAAGTAAACATGAATCTGTTTTATACAAATTCTTAAATTAAACCTCTTAAATATATTGTTTTATATTAAAAATGGTTTCTCAAATGTTGAAAATGAGTTTTGTGGCGAGCTGTTTTACAGATGCAGAGCGAATATGAAACAGGATAAAAAAAAGAAAAATCAGAGAATCAGAAGGGAAAAGTGTTATTTAATCTTAGTTCAACTGTGTAAATGTACACACTGACTTTTGGAGCTGTGTGTAATATCTTTTTAAGCCCTGCAACCTTTGTGACGTGGTTTCCCCTCCAAATGGAGAATGACCCTGATACATGAGAAACATCCTAAATAAGACACATGCTATCCCTATGAGATGCTAAGAAGTTATGCTGAAGCTTGTAACTCGGATTTCGCCCACCTCCAACTAGGAAAGATCAAAGAAAACACCCCCTCAACTGGGAATCCCTACTCAGAAAGTCAGGATGGTGTTCTCGTCTCTGAGCTCGACGTGTGACGTCAAGTCAACATGGCCGCTCACACCGTGAATAGCAATAAAGAACCTTCTCTACTTTTAAACGCGACAGGCTTTAGATCAGTCATCACAGACACAGTAGTGGGCAAATCCATAACACTGACCATAAAGGTCACTGTTTTGAGAAGATAAATACTTTCTGAACGTTAAAGTGATCACTAACATTAGCTGGCTAGCTTGGTGCTAGCAATACTCTCTTTCCTGGACACCTCCATGTTTTCCCACTTAGCTCGAACGAACAGAGGTCAAAAATGATGTAGGTCCAGGCTCCGACTTCACACTTCCAAGTCAAGTGGAACGCAGCATAAGACATGCTTTCATGGTGTTGCAAAGCCAGATGTGAACTCATAACAAGAATGTCTGGACATGAACATGAGAAATATAGGGGTGAACGTAGGTTGGAATCAGCGGCGTGACTAGGATCATACGGGCACCCCACCATACAAACATTACTTTAAATTAATAAAAAAATACAATGATTACAATGTAATTTGCATGTTTATTCGGTATTGTACAGTATATACAGTAAAAACAATGTATTGTTTGGCAGTGAAGCT